AAAAAAGTCGGTGCGAATCGTTAGTTCCAGAAATTTCTTAGCTTTACTAGTACCTTATAACAGTATCACGTAAGGCGATGAAGTCGTTATGCTGCAAATTTTCAACCTCAACCGTGCCCCAGCTGTAATCCCTTACGCGACATCGACGACCATTGGTTTCACGAACCTAAATTACTTGATATTGAAAAGTCTTTCATGCTAAAAAAAAAAAAAAAAAATCGCAAAATATTTTTATGACATATCATAAGAACTACCTGATTACTGCCAACAATAGCAAATGGAAACCGTTCACGAAGAGGGCCAAACTGTCTTTTCTCATCCTCATCTTCGGTATCCGGAAATTTATAGAGTTTGATACCATTTTCTTCAATCTCTTTGGTTATCTATAAAAGGAAAAAAAAGAACTAAACAGTCAATTATTTAGAAAAATAATAAACAATTATGATTAAATAAGAAATCAGTGCAGCCGATTATATCATTTTAGTCCAAGAAAAAGTTCTTTCTACCCTTGAATAAGCATTATAATTACGAATCTAATAAAGACTGCATATCTGTTAACTAGTAACTACAATTAATTTTACGATTCAACTTATGTTATAAAGAAATAAACGACCTCTCGAAATTTAAAAATGTCTTAATCGTCTTTGAATTCATAGATATAGTTTACTTCCTTGCAAAACTTAAAATTTGACGCATCACTATATACTATTCCTTTTTCATCATAGCAAGTACAAAGATTATATCAAACTGTTACATAGCCTTATTCGTCATTGCAATATATCTCAGGTAATTGAATGAAATAAGACAAAGAACGAAAAACAAACTCTAATTTCTTAAACATAATAGTTTTAATATTTTTTTTAACAAATTACTTGGTTTTTGAAATATGATAGCTCATTCACTGTCAACGTATCAGCTTTCGCAATAACTGGAATCACATTGACACGATCATGGAGCTTCTTCATCATTTCAATGTCAAGTTGTTTTAATCTGAAATTCTCTAACTAATTGCTTGTTCAGCATCAATTGACTTTTTATTCACTAATTTTTCAGTACTACATCGGATAAACAATATTGACGTCATAAACATAATTCCACATTCACTGTCAGATAAATTCGTCAAACTTGACTAGTTTCAAAATTTACAAATAAAAAAATTTACCCATGCCCAGTAGGGCTGATGAAGTATAGGCAAAGATGCACACGTTTATCGGGAATTATTGCTGCACGTTCAATTTTAGTTTCTTCCGAAAAATAATCCAAATATTTTTTCTCGATGTAATTTACGATCGGTTCCCAACTGCAAGCTCTATTACATTTTTAAAATGGAAAGTCTGAAACCGGTAGTATTGTGGGCCCCCATCTGATTGAAAACAATGAAGTCATGAGAATCTTAATACGAACACAGTATGAAATTTAAACTATGAGAAGAAAGTAAATTACTGACCATTTGCTATTATCTACCGCATCACCAAAGCCTGGGCAATCAACCAATGTAAGGTTTAAAGTTACACCGTTCTCCACCAAACGTACGATTTTCTCTTCAATTTGTACTGTTCGTGAAATGCGCCGTTTTTCCGTATCTGGGTCGTTAATTTCCGTACAAAACAATGAATTGATAAATGTGGATTTACCAAGACCGGAACAACCTGCCATACAAAATGATGCTTTTACAAATCCTTTTTAGAACAAGAACAGCAATTAGTATAGTCTTGATATTGCATATTGAAAGCGAGATGGAGTGATCCTTGATGTAATAAATAATGAACGAGGAATTCGGTTCAAAGTTAAAGCTGTAGTAAAATTGATAAATGAAAATAAAGGATGTATATATAAGTTACATTTAAATATAACTAGCAAAATTATCGATTCATGTCATTATTATTCTCTCTCTTTCTTTCTCACATAAATGTAAGCGTAATTATTCAAGCGAAATTTACATACATAGGAAAACTAAAAGAGAATACAGTGAGTAAAATCTTTATAAATTCAGAGATACAAATTTTGGCAGTTCGTTGTTGAAACGAGATAACGTAATCATATACGGCATGTGACGTACATTTGGAAAAACTCCACAATGAAACGGGGAAACATGCTCGATTTCATGTCATATTATGTACAATAGGAAATAATCTAATAGAAAATTTATTATTTTCTAATAGCTTGCAGACTTTTTAAATGTAACACAGTTATTACTAATGATTAATCTTGATTAGTCACCCGAAAATATTTGCAGCTTTCCTTTTTATATCCAATATAATTCTGATATAATCAATAAAAATGAACGTACCAACAACCATCAGCGTGAACTCAAAACCATTTTTGATAGCACGTCGAAATACTTGGTTAGGAAAATTAGCAAAACCAACATAACTATGAGCATCTTTCAGTTTCGAACCATTCAATGATTTTTCCGACAAACCTGAACCATTTATGTCGATTTGCATCATTGCAGTCATAAGCAGAAGGCGAAAGAGTGAGAGAAAATGTTGTCTTCCTGAAATTTGTCACCTTTCCAATTTAATTCACCTCATGCAAGAAGCAACTAACAGTACCTCTTGTCACATTACTGCTCTATAACACTTCACCATGAATCATGATTCGCCATTTATTCACTAATATATTCGCTATCATAGAAAATGACTTAACATTGATATTGTTTGATAAATCTAACATAAAATATCATTATTTTACAATACTTTAGTGCTGCTTACCGACAGTGCAACATGACATAATATCATAATATCATTCAACTATTTATGCGAAATCTTATCATAGCATTTTGTCGTAAAGTACTACCTAGTATACATTCGTGCATTATCCTTCTTGTTAAGCAAAACTTTTTTTGATATTTTGTGCAAATTAAATATACACATAGTCTTATCATTTTGTAAATTTTCAGTATGTAAAACGCTAACTTTGGTAGTTTCCCTAAGCTCCAATAGCTACTGATCTAATTATTACAACGCTAGCAATAATATTTGATGCAAATCGTAGTTATAATCATCAACTGCTATAAACATTAAACGAATAACTGCAAACAGATTAGTCAATTTATAATGACTCGTTTGACGATTAGAACTATTTATTTGACGACTAAAACAAATTTGCATAATGATTTTAACTTGTCCACATGTACACATCACACGCATGACGGAAAAACGTACGAGTCCGCGTCACTTAATCTGAAAACCCCGGGCAACCGTAAAGTATCCACTAGGCTTTGTGTCCTTGAATGAAATATGAGCTAGACAATTTCACTGGATTTTCTTTTTATGAAATTTCATCCGTACCTACCGATCGATATTGGTTAGATTATCACACTTCACGCAATGACCACACACTTGCAGCTATTATACATTTCCATTTCTTTATTTCCAGTATTCCATATTAAAAAATTATTCAAATCAATTTAATTAGTCCTCATATTTACAGCATATGTTGTGAATTTGGCTTTCTCATTACTTTTATTGCTTTAATTGATTTAAAAATCACGAATAATTATTCTATGCTGTAAAATTTAGCAGGAAAAAAAAGGAAAAATGTCAAAATATTCGGTAATAAGAGCAAAAAGAAAAAAAGGGAAAGTCACTATTCATTTATTATCTGAAACAATAAACATAAAAAGTATAGCTAAACATTTTATTGAAAACTTCAGCATATCATAGATAATTTGATACAATTCATTCATTCATTCATTGTCTCGTGCCTTTTTTTTTTGAACGGAAAAAAAAAGTGACATTATCAGGAACATTTTCACATGTAATAATAAATATGATTAGGAAAAAGGAAAAAATATTGTAAATTATAAAAGTTAATACTTAACAATAAAAAAAGCTGTTGCCGGAGTGACTGCCGGAATGATTTAGGATAATTAATTCATATTATATATGAAAATATATATACATTTATCAATTACATATAAATTGGAATTTTTTTAAAATGATAAAGCTTGATTGATCAATTGTAATCTGAAAATAAAATCTTAATCCGATTCCCACATATAAAAAAAAAAAGTGTTGCCAGAATGTTCACTTATATTTGCTCTTTGATTATAAAACGTCGACATCATCATACAATTGTTCTTTTCTTTCTATTTCATTTCTAATCATTCTTTTTTTTTTTTTTTTTTTTTTTTAAATAGTAATAATTAAAATTAAAAATTGGAAATGAAAATTTCTGTAACTTTTAAAAGAGAAAAAAACTGCATTTCTTCCAATATCTAAGAAAAAAAAAACACATTGGAACAGATGGGAAGGAAAAAAAAGAAAACATAATTCATTGGAATATGTACAAAATACAAGTAACAATGTAGTAAGTAAATCAATACTAATAATAATAATAATTTGAAACATAAATGGGTAGAATATTTCCGCTCATTTACAAAATAAATTTCTAAAAAGAAAATGATAATATGTATGTAGATCGCATAGTGAATATTAAATTATTATAAAAATTTCTTGTCGTCTTTTTTCTTTTTTATTAAAAATACATTCATTATTTATTTCAAAGAATGAAGAAAAAAAACGACTCCTACAAATTGAAATCTTTTTTTAATTTTTATATTTGTGTATGATATGTTTACTGATGCTTTAATTAACTTTTATTAACAGCAATAAGTTACTGTCTGATAGTTTGGTGAAATTCGTCGTTTCTTAAATGAATTTAAGCAATCATCATTTCTTCTTTTGATCATCTGAATTTAAAAGTATCATGATTTTAAAATCCTTAATTTGTTAAATAATAACATATATAAATCGCATAATGAATTGAAACAAATTAAATTTAACGACTAAACACTGTTATCAATTATCGTAATAAAGCTAGTAGAAAAAGTTGTTTATATCAACAAACATATCATAAACAAACCATCAAAAAAAAAAAAAAAAGCTAGAATATAGTGTATAAGACAAAAAACGATCAGTTCAGTAAATTAATAACAATTTTAACGAAATGGAATTATTAATTGCTAAATAAACATATTATTACTCTTCTTGATTTTAAGAGTTTCTCGAATTTCCTGCAGTATAGGCAGAATTGGTCGTTTTCGAGGTTTCTGGTAACCTAAATAATATCACAATTGAAATGATGTAGATTAAAGGTAATATTTCACCAGCAATCAATCTACAGATACTAAAAATCTTACATTTTCTGTTATCTTTTTAATAAGAAAGTTAAAAATCATCTATAACAGAAATTTATTAATATTTTACTAAAAAAAAATTTTCACAAGAGGAGCATAAATTGAACCAGTCTACCTTGATTGACGTTCATGTTCATTTTCTTTCTGCAACGTTTTATTGGTATTTGAAGTACTTGAATCATTTGTTAATAGATCCAGGAATAATTTTGATTTCAAAAATCGCCTATAACTATCTTTTGCCATTAACTGCTCAATTCTGGTTTGCGCTAACGAAAACATATTTGGTTTAGCACCATTTTCCAGAGCTGCTTTTGTTGCTGCACGTGTATCACTGTCTAAATTAACCTAAAAACAAATTTTCTTATCATATAACCATAAGTATGCAATGAGGTGTCAAATTAAAAAAAAAAAAAAAAAAAAGAATCAAATCTAGGTGATACAAGTAATTTGACTATTACAAATTTTAATGAAACAAATTTAGAAATGACATTCATTTTTGTTAAGCTTCTTTAACCATACTTCATTTTATGAACTATAAAAATATAATTTTATTGAAAATTTTAATATTTATTTGTGATACTGCTAAACAAATGATAATGCAAACCTCTTTTGGTGATTGTTCAGCAATATATTTATTGTATATAGAATGCGCTTTTTGAATTGTTGACTTCTTTCCTTCTTTCATCTTTCGAAATTCTTCACATTCAATCCAAAAATCAACATTTTCATCGCTGAATTCTCCTTTTAAAAATGTCCGAAACAACAGACAACCATCTTAAAATGATCCAATTTATGTCTATATAAATATATCATTTATTCGAGAATATTTTGTTCCAAATATCATTAATTTATTTATAGGTCATAGCTAATGAATTTAATTTGAATTATTCCCGCAAGACAAATTAACTTAGTTCAGAAAAAAAAAAAATGCAAAACATATATGATGTCTCAATTCGAAAACTAAAATCAACATACATTTATGATTTAGTAAACGTTCGAATGACTCCTGCCATTGCATGATTTCTTCCTTGGATGGATACAATGTTGATGTACTACATGAGTCCATTTTACTCTTAATGAAATCCAACGTTTTTGCAAATCTACTACTGCAATCATCCTATGTTAAAAATTTTAAATATAAAAAGTATAAAAACAATGCATTTACATTGTTTTTCATTCTTCATAATCAACCAGTGAAATTTCTTTAATTTTAATTTTAGTATTTAAGATTGAAAGTGGTAAAAAGATTACAAACTTCTACGTGAATAACCAAAATTGAACTATTGTCGTAAGACAGAAAAAAAAAAAACCAATAATAAATAACTTACAATCTTCTCTTCGGTTCGATATCATGCACTTGTAATCGTTGATTTACTTTATCTAAACATCCTTTGGGACTAAAGGTGAATGATGCTGTCCGCCTTACAGAATTTATAGAATCCTATAATAGAACATGTATAACTCAAAAAGGAAAAATATTAATTAGTGAAATAAATATTATGTGTTTGTGGAACAAATTAAATCACGCATAGAAGAGGATTTTTTAAACGTGCATTCTAATTTATCAAAATTTTATGATTTCAGGATGTCAGATTTCAGATGAAAGGTTAATATTTATTCACGATATCTGATGCTATCTGACACTGCTTTTTTAAACATTACTAATGAATAGCGATAATATTTGGTCGGTACAAGGTGAAAGAATGAGTACTAAAATAATCAGTCATTCATATCAATTAATATTAAATATTTAAATTGTATTAATGATAATAAAATTTTACTAAAATTATAGATGTAATAAATTTGAAAATTTTTAACAATAAGATAACGTATGAAGGAAAGCATAATCTATAACCTCGGAAGTTTTTTCTGTCTCATTTGCGCATAGATACTGAAAATTTGTAGAAGCGTTAATAGATTGCTTCAAATCTGCGACACTGGATCCATCTGATGTTAAATCACCTATGATGAAATTTGAAATTAACCTCAAGAGTTATTTTATTAAGATTATTAACTAATTATATATACAAAAAAGTACACAGATCTTCTACAGAAATAATATCAACAAACAACTCTTCTGTATAATCTATTATGAAGTTAAAACCATTTAGCAACAAAATTAAATCAAAATATTTTTAGTCTGCTTGAAAAGCTAGCTCTTCAATGAAGTTTATTATCTTTGCAATGCAAAGACATCAACCAATTGTAGTCATTCCAATATTATAGTCATCATGTGTTATTGAAATTAAAAAAAAAAACAACAAAAAAAATGTAATTTAAAAACTTTGCAAAAACAAACTTGTAGTAGTGATGAACGGTACACCAATTAGTTTTTGATGTAAATTTTCACTAATTGTTGTACTGGATGTAATACTTGAACTTCCAGCTGTATAATCTAAGTCATTCCGTCGAATACTAATTGGTATTTTGGTTGCTGCAAGTGATGTTTTGCCCTTCATATGCAAATTAGTGATACCAGCATCTTCATCACTTCTCGAACACCTCGTGCCACATGGTTCAACATCATATGCCCAGCCCGGTTTGCTGCACTGATGTTTAGTTGATAATAATGAAGTCGCATGACCATTTGATGATGGCGATAAAGATGTTGTTTGATTGTGATGATGATGATGATGATGATGATGACGACGTGTTTGTGAATTACGACTATTCCAATCCGAATTACGCATTATCTAAAATTATAAAAAAATATTAAATAATATTAAATTGTTGAAATAAAAGAAGGGAATATATGAAATAATTATAAAAATGAAGAAAATATCAAATTGTAATTACCACTGAAACAGATTGAGTCGGAATAATAATATGCATTCCAAATTTCAAAACTTGTAGTAAATTTTTACTTTATCAAGGTATGATGATAAGAATATTAATATCACATTTTTCTACCACTTCCTCCCTTCTTTGCCTTTCATTTCTTTTAATTTTTTATACTAGCATAATTTGAGATTTGGATATGAAAAAATCGATTTTCGCAAAGCATAACATTAAAAATTGACGAGTTAAAAAAATCAAAAAATTTTTAAAGCTTCCACAGCATAAAAAAAATAAAAGGAAAAAATTTGAAATAAACACAAACAACTCATAATTAATAATTTCTAATATTAACAAAAAAAAAAAGAAAAAAACTTCATCCTTTTGAAAAATATCAATCAGTTGAAATGAAAAAAAAAAGATGAAAAAACGGGAACAGAAAACTAACTGAATGTATAAAAACATAAAATATTTATATGTTATTTTAGAAATAGGTTATCTAGTTATAAATAATCCTCATTTCACATAGTGGTTATCTTTTTCATAAAAAATTTATTCATGGATTATTTCAATAAAAAATCAAATTCTGAAAATAAAAAAACATTGCAATGATAAAAAAATGACAGCAACGATAAATGAACAGATGAATCAGTGCATTATTATTTTAAATATACTATACAATATATTTTTTTTTTTATTTAAAAATTGATAAAATACTTTTCTTTTTTTATTTAATTTTTCAGAACGAATCTTTCATCATTTTTCACTGTGATTACGATAATACACGTGTATAACAGTTGTCTATTTTGATAATTAAAAGATAATTACAAAGGAAATGCCTATATAAAATTACTACACTCATATTATTCTGCAAACATTTTCAAATTAAATTTTAAAGAATTAAAGGAAAAATCCTTTCAAAATATATTAAATGATAAGGACTGAATGCAAAAGTTGACAAGCAAAAATAATAAAAAATTTTTTCATTAATATGAAAAATACTATTTTCAACGACAATAAAAACAAATAATGTTAGAAAAACTTATTCAAATTTATGATTTCAAAATTATTCATTATTCCTGAAATGCTGAGTTCGTAAATTTCATACAGGAATAAAAAAAGGAAGTGATAAGATTATAAATTATATGCTTTAGAAAGAAATAGGTTCATAAAATTGATTTCCTGTATCTAATGATTATAAATATTATCAATACCAGTTCAACAAATTGAAAGCTAATACTTTTTTATCAATTTATTTTAATCTGTTGATAATACAAGATATTACTTTAGATTTAAAAGAGTTTAAAAATATAAACCATTAATTACTTCATAACATTTCAGTAATAATTTTAATTGAACGAAATAGAATAATGACGATAAAAAATCCTGTAAATAAGAAAAAAAGAAGAGTAAAACAAATTTAAAAGTGTGCTAAAGTTAGCTTCATTAATCCTATTTACAGATATCTTCAAAATAGAAATCAGTCCTTTTTATCTATGTAATTAAACATTCGCCCTCATTGACCGATACAATTAAGTCTGGCTTGGCTCATCTAAATCACTAAATCCCATTAAGTTTATCAATTTATTAAAGCAATTTATTATTAATTTACTTTATCGCAATGCTGACAAATTTATATTAACAAAAAAAAAAAAATTAAATGTAGAATTTTTTCAGTACTATGAAACTATTTTTAAGCTTTATATTATCATAACCTAATATATAAAATTTCCAAATCTTTGAAAAATTTCTAAATCTTTGAATATACCTATAATTCAAGTTTTAGCGTAAATCAAAAGATAAATGATATTTAACAAAAAAAAAAAACTTAAAATAACTGGATAAATATGATTGATATATTTTTCTCTGATTCAGTAACGTCAAGATATAAGAGTCGCTCTACTGTTTAAAAACTTCTTAACATATTTAAATATTAATTATTAAAAATATACATAATTTAAATATTAAAAATACATAATTTTTAATCACATACAAATTTTCGAACAAAAAATGACACTTTTACAAATGCTGATAAATTGCTATGATAAAAAAATCAACTGAGTACTGAATTATTCGTACTAAATTCCAAACAGAAAACAAATTTATCAATTTCACACAATAAAATATTTGCAACTCTCAACCCAAACTTTTTTCTTTCATTACCTTTTTACGCGAATAAAATATTGAGAACATCGACCAAAAATTATTTCCAATTCGTGTGAGATATCATTTTCTTCAAAAAATGTTATCAACTCGATATATTATTAATATTGCAAGAAAAAAACGTCATTTTAAAATATCAACAAAAGAAAATTAAAAGAAAGTTTCAATTTTATTCATCCATTCTTTCATTCATTTATGAAAGAAAGAAGGCAAACAAAAAATTTTAAGAACGAAAATGAATAAAGTAATGAAAATTTTCTGAATGCCGAAAAAAAATAAAGGCTTAAATTAGGTTTAATTCCTAAGTAATCTTGTTAGGAGTATATATATATATCGGTTAATTTAATTTTTAAATTCCATTTCCTGCTTTGGTACATGGAAAAAAATAGAATAATCATTACACATTGAATTTTATTTTATTTTTTTGAAAAGATTGAAATGAAACCTCAAAGGAATTAAGAAATTAATAGGCGTATATTCCCATGATAACAACAATAATAACAGTGGTAATAGTAAGGATGTAGTGAAGGCGGTAATAGGATAGATAAAGCAAAACGAAAGTATCACATTTACAACTAAAAAAAAAAAAATTCGCAGGGAAAAAAAAAAATTTATAATGATCGGAATCATAATTTAAAAAATGTACAAAACTTGCAATTAAAATTCTTTGCTTTTTCTACTCTATTTAAGTATAACGCATCAATGATAAGGGTAATAAAGTAAATTTTGAATTTAAGAAATACATCAATAAAAATTAATTTTGATCAATGGAAGAAAAAAAAAAAACCAGTTTTTTCTAAATTAATGGAAGCAAATTATGTTATTAAATAGTCATTTTCCTAAATTGTATATATTAAATAAATATCGCCAAAAATAGCAAAAAAAAAAAAAAAAAAAAAAAAGGAAAAAGTGAGCATAGAATTTATCACCTGTAAGTTTAAATTAGTAATGATGTTATGCTAGAAGCAATATATACAGTTCAATAAGAAAATCCAATTTTTTATTTTTAGAATTAAACAAATATAAAGCTAATAACATTTGCTGCAAATTAAAACATTACATCACTTTTCTTGTTTATTTTAAATAAGAGAAATACGCAATAAAGAGTTGGAATTAAAATTGAAAGAAAAAGAATGAAGGAAAAAAAGTCTCTTAAAGCGTTATATTTTCTTAAATATAACTTAAAAAACAAACTGATTTATTTAAAAAATTCCATTAACATTTAAACTTGCATACCAATAAATACTAACAATGAAGACGTACATTAATTTTTCTTACAATTATCTTAATTCCAAAAAAAAGAATAAAAAAATTATCGCTATCGAAATTTGTTCTCATCCTAAAATTGCTCAATTTTGTCCAGCAATGAGTGTATGTTCAAATAATTGAAAATACTTCGATTTCGTTTTTTCCTTGAAAATTGTTACGAAAAGAATAACTTTTGTGTTTCCTTGGATGATAGCGAATTGAAATGTTTCGCGTTTTATCGCTAATGATATTTTTGATATGGAAAGTTACTTTTTTTTCACATCTTTATCATTTCGAATATCTTTTTCCAAAACTATCATTATTTATTAAATTGAATTTGTCAGTGAGAAATTATCTTTCTCCACATTTTTTCATAAAACTATTATTTATCAGTAGAACTGATTTTTAAAAAATCAACAAATCCTTTTCCTTTTTCAAAAATAATCATTTCATATCTCAAAATTTCCTTATCTATATCAAACTTTATTTCCGGCAAAAAAAAAAAAAAAAAGTAGTAACAATACATTTTAAAAAGTTTACTTTAGCATAAATATTGTGCAAAAAATGTAGTGAAGTGAAAATATTCATGTAATTGATCAAAAAAAAAAAAAAAAAAAAAAAAGAAAGAAAACAGAAGTGAAAGAGAATTTTTGTGATAAGGTGAACTGCTTCTTTGATATCTTCTTAAGGATCAGATTCTCCCAAAAGATTTCAGCTTGTGCGTCACATGAAGCTACTACTACTCATTTCCGCTTTTAACAACAAAATGTTGACGTAACATTTCAAAAAAAAGAAAAAATAGTATGTAGAAAAAAGTGTATTATCTCTTGACTCATCAAAATCATGAAAAAAAAAAAGAACTTCATTATAAACAAGAGCTATCATAGCCTCTGTTTACACTAACTTTTCGTTTTTTTTTTTTTTCTTTTCTTTTTATTAAACTATGAAATAAAATTACAAATCCATTAAGTAAGCAAGTGATTAAATTAATAAAAATCATTGAGGATAGTACAGCTGGAGCAGCAAATATAATAACTTTCTATCACAGTGATAAGTAACTATGATAAAATTATTCGATTATCACAACAGCCAACAATGACAATATCTTATCATGACAGTTGCTAGCATAATGTCCTGACATGATAATGACAATGATAACGTATTGTATATTATTCAGTTTGCTTTATTATTTGTCTATAATTTAAAAAAAAAAAATGAAAAAAAGACAGAAAGAGAGAATGTAAAAAGTTAGGTAAAGGATTAGTTAAGAAAGAAAGAAGGAAATGATTACGACAGATGGTTGCTTACTCAAAATCCCATTTTTATATATAAAAAAAAAAGGAATGAACAATAAGATAGCGACTTAGTTTCCTCAGTGAACTTCATTTGATGATTAAGGAACGAAATTCAGTTAAGGTATAGAGTGATACGACATGTTTTTGCTGTTATTATTGTTAACATAGCTTAATGATATAACAATTTTTCTGTCAAACGAAGTTGGTTGAATGAGAGGAATGAACTTTAAATTTAATCTATCATAGTATTGTAGAAATATGAAAAGAAGAGAAAAAAAGATATTAAAGAATCAAATGAATCATTCAAACTAAACACTGTTTTTATTCTTAAAGATTCAAAGTTAATCATCCTAACCAAAAGATTTTTGAAGATAATCTTATCTAAAAGATTTTCAGATCACAAATAATTTTGCATCATTTGGAATTAGACTCTCTTTCAATCTCTGCATTTATAACATGAAATAATATTACGTATACTAATTTGGATATATTGTGACAGTATAACTTTCCAAATGAAACTAATTACAAAAATAATTTCTAATTAAAAATACATTGCTATATGAAATATGTGGAAAATATTTAGTCAAAAGACTATATATATTGAATTTCATTCCTCTTAATTTCTTCATATTTAAAAATGAAAATTTTGTTAAATGGTCAAAATGAGAAACTTAAACCGACTAAATGAAGATTCCTCAATTAGAATGAATGCAAACCGGATATGGCCGGTCATGAACCAAATAAACGAAATGATTTGCTCGAAAAAAGAATTGGTAAAAGGAATGCAAGAAGATATGAAGTTTTCATGCAAGAAAATCACCGAGCATAGCTAATTTCTGTTAGTAATTGCGCAAATGGCTTCCACCCAGATAATTAACAATTCGGCAAATGCTAATTTTTAAGATAAAGTTTTATTTTTTTTTTTCACAAACTTTCTTCATAATCTTTGCAATCATGATAACAGATGTTTAGTTAAGAATTTAAATATTTTCTAGTTTCACTTCTATTCCTTTTCCAAAAATCTACAAAACACTTTCTTTTAGGCATAAGACAGTCTTGGCTCAAAACTACAAAATCAAATCTAAAATATGTTGCATTTAAATTTCCCAACTAAAAAAAATTGAATTATGCTAAATGTAAACTATGAAATAATTCTAGCCAACATCATAACGATTTTTTTTTTCTTTTTAAAGATAGGAATAGCAAGGAAAAAATAAAAGAGAAAGGACAAAAAAAAAAAAAAAAAAAAAAAAAAAAAAACTTACTTTACGTGGTGAATGTGAAGCAACTGAACTGCTACTACTTACGCCAATATCGTCATAATACTTCTTCACATTTATCTATAATTTATAAGACCTTAAATTCTTAAAATTTAACAAGAGCTTATAAAAATAGATAAAAACAATAACAGAAATTTTAAAAGAAAAAACACACAAAAAATAAATTGCCATTTAATTTTTTCATTACAAAAAAATAATCATTCTATCATTAAAATTATCATTAAAAATCATATAGAATATACATAACACAGTTCCATTAAAAATGATAACCAATAATAGATAGAGCAAAAATTAAACTTTTGTTAAATAAATCACTCTGATGTGGCTTATTATTTACCATTTCGATTCACTTGCTTTGATAACAACAACAAACATTAGCGCACTAGCAAATAGTATCCGGAACGAAAAACAAAAACAAAAAAAAAAAAAAGATTAGCCATTCGGTTAACTCCAAAAATATCCTTTGCTGTATAGTTAATGAGAACATTAACTGACGAGAATAAAAGAATATTAAATGTAGCGTAAATCAACTTAGAATATAGCTGAACGACATGCATTTCAAAATTAATATAATATTGCACATTATACATTAAATAATCGAGCCTAAGCATTAATTCAACTCATAAATCCATCTGTAAATTCTTCCACAAATTATTTGCGCAAAAATTTTAACAAGTTACTCATTACTACTAATAAAATTCTATAAAAATTACTCATTATTACTAATAAAGATTTAAAGATTTTTTTTATTGCTAATAAAATTTCAACAAATCATTATCACTAATATTGTTATATAGTTCTGTAACATGAGCATTATCTCATTAATTATAATGAATTATAGTATTTTAAAAGAGCATAAAATTTTAACAGTTTAGAGGAATGAAAAACAATTAAAAAAGGAGTTGCTAAATGAATGAGAAAGAGTAGGAGAGAAAGAAACAGAGAGAGATAAAAGAAATAGAAAATTTGGGATTTTCGAACTGAAAAAATATATAAAAATTACATGAATAATGTGAGAAAAATGAAACATTATATTTAATGTGACTCATTTCGGATATCACTCGAAAAACAATGTATCTGATATGAATCATTTTGGAACAGATGGCATTGCATCAACAGAAAATTTGAGTTATACAATTTCCAGTTTAATTTTTACAATTCATTTGTTAGGTAAATCAGTTGAGTGAACAGAAATACACAAAATGTTTATTCATAACCGAAATGTTTACGGTTTTTCTGTCTTTTAAAAATAAAATATGAATATACACAAACATACACACAATATTAGCTATACGTATTAACTAAGGAGAATAATAATCTTCAAATTTTCTGATAGAAAAAAGAAACTAATTGATAGAGTAGCATTCCTTTTAGCCTAACTTCACAATGACTTTATAATTAATTAAATCAAATATTAGTCTTCCTTTGGTTATAACGCTAAGTTGTTGTAGTATTCCTTTACTTTTCAATACAATGTAAATTTCAAATAATTAAAGTCAACACATGATTATGAAGTAAATGGTCTCCCTTATTTCAAAGTTCACTATTTAGCACTGTTTTGAGAAATGAATTATTAGATACAAATTTAAAGTGGTTACTCAAGTTAAAATTCAAAAACTAAGCAAGTTTAGTTAGCAAATAACTTACTATACATACCTTATTTTCAGGAAAATTTTGTCGTTCACCAAGTTCAGGTCGAAGCAGGAAAAAATCACCATCATTAATCTGAAAATATATAATTTTTTCAATGAAAACTAATTAGATTATGAAGTAATGGAAGATAATTCTTTATTATTGTAAATTTAAAACATATAAGTCGACAGAAAAATAACAATTTGGATTGTAAAAATGGTTAACACATTTTTTTCTTTTTTTGAGATATTTCAAAGAAAAATTAACGCTAAATTAGGTAATGCAAAAGAATGATAAAATTTATTTCGTCCATGAAGGATTTTTCGACAGATTATAGCAAATATGAGTACTTATTTGTAGTATTTGTACTATTCTCATTCATATTTTTTATGCGAAACTTTTTTTTTCTTCCTTAAATTATTCATAATGAAGCAAATAATTCGTCCAAAAAGGAAAAGAAAGAGGAAAAAAATTAGATGATGGATAAAGTCGAAAGAAAAGATGAATAATATAAACAAATATTCGAAGGATATTCGGTAATAAAAAATAAAAAATAACATTGAATTAGGCAAAAAATACGAAATTCAAAAAGTGCGAAATGAAACTTTTTTAAAAAAGACAAACAAGCAATGTTATTCACTCTATTTGTAATAGATTTATTTACAGACAAAATGAATAAAAATAAATCTTCACAACTTCTGATTTTAAAAACTATTAACATCTGTTTTGCTCATTGTTAACATATGAAGCAACAACAACCTTTTAAACATATTTTCAAACATTCTTGTTACTTTGTTGATGAAAAAAATGAGAAAAGGAAGTTCTCGGACTTTTATAGGAAATGTAGTACATGCGGGACGATCTTTGATCTTCTATCTTGGAATAGTTTAATTCTAAACAAAAGGCGGTTAATTTCAAAAATGTAAATGAAATTTGATTTTTGCACACAAAAAAGAGCGACAGGAAAGTTATAAAATAATACAAAGCAAATTTGTCAAATAGACAAAATAATCTTTGAAAAAGTATTGAGGGGAAGAAGTTGAAAAATTACATTTCAAAAACTTATTGAAGGATGGCATTTATGTTTGAAATGTTAGGCTTTATTTCATATTTCAAGTTTGATTTTTCTACTTCTTCGTTATCGCTGCACATTTCAATATGCTTTGCTGCACGTAACATGTTTAAAGTATAGTTAGAGAAAAGGCATTTTTCTTATTATATTGAAAGGCCTTTTTTGTCAATATTGATAATGATGCTTCAGAGTATTCTATGTAAAGAAATCAATTGATGAATTGCAGGAATTAGTCAGGCGAGCAAAAAAAATAATATGAAATAGTTGGTTAAAATTTATTTTGGAAATGATTCAGAATGTTATGTGCAAGAATTCTGTTCTATTTTATCTCTTCCTAATAAACAATTAATAAAATATTTAATAAGATAAAAATATTATTCAAATAAATGATAAATTTTAACTTCAATCACTGATAAATGGAATAATTCTTTTTTCTTAATGAATGAATAATTCTTTTTTCTTTTTCTTATAAAAACGAGCAAATAGATAGATTAAAACTTAGTGCTCAAGAAGTACAATTGTAGTATATACATCATAACCATGTATATACACATAATATTATTTATATCTATAATATTAAAGAAAAAGAAAAATTTCTGTGAAAAAATTACCACAGTTCGTTCATATGTTTGCAAATTTTCATCGAATCCACATTCAGTCTGAAAAAAAAGCAATTAACCAGCAAAATTATGTAACCAAGTTTTAATAAGTAATTTAATAAATATTTTAGCTTTTTAATCAAAAAAAAAAAATAAAACAAATTTTGAGTCTAACTATTATAAAGCTTTGAAAGTTTTAAAATACATTTTTTACATGAAACTATTAATATATATCTTTAAAGTAATTGATTTTTATTTATCCATATATACATTTTAATCGATAATTCATATTTAAAAAAAGCATTGCAATAGTTTTACAGAGCAAAATAAGATGTTTTCTAGTTTGTCCAGGACCAGAAAAATACTGGTTTCCGGAAAAATTGTTAACGTTATTTCTAAATCACAAACATTTTGAATCCGTGTGCAAATATTATTTCGGTGACTGTTTAATGTAAATATAACCAGCAGCAGTTCTCATCACTCATGAACAATGCATTTTGAGTGAAAAAAATAATAATAGAATAAATTTCCAAACTTCAACTATTTATAATTGCTAATTCGTTGACTGAGTAAAATGATAACATTTTGTTTAACTGAACTAAAATTCTAAAATACGGTTGACTAGTCCCAAATGCTCCACAACATAATCATTTGTTAATCAGTAATATCACACATTGTTAATCAGTAATACAACACATTTTGATCTTTGTTGCACTATTCGGTCAGACATATATTACTTTTCAGAATCAATTAATAATTTCCGATTATACAATAAGTTCATTTAATATCATAAATTGATTGCAAAGGAAAAAAAAAGTTTAATAATTTTTTAATCAAAAAAAGGTAAGTGTGATTAATTAGCTGGGCAAGATAGAAATGTAAATATAAAAACATATTTTTTTAAAAAAAAAGATACTAAAAAACGGTAAACTTTACATGTGTACTAAAATTCGATATTATATCATTTTCAATATAAGAAAAACAATTACAGCCCTTTTTTTCTTATCATTTCTGCTACTTAATAGATCTCTTCTATTTTTAACAAACTGTAGAAATATAGATAAGTAGATAAATAATTATATCATTTTTAATCCAAGAAAAATGTTTTTTTCTTCTTACCACTTCTATTATTTAATAGATTTCTTTTAATTTACTGAAAATAAAATATGAAAAAGAAAGAAAAAGCAAAAAAAGGTGAATAAATAAATGTAATTGACATTGAGGAAGTATTAAGAAATGTCGAGAAACCTCTTGAACTTACATTGGTATAGTACATAGGGAAATTCATAACATAGTGTACAACACATCCAAGAAATATACTCATTTAAAAGATCATTAATGCCATTATTAAACAAGATGTTTAACAAAAAATTTTAAACTACCAGCATTAAATGCTACTCACTACTACTGCATAAAATGACTCCTAATATTATAAATAAGGTAAATTGGTTAAATTTATTGCAATTATTTGAGAAATTTTGAAAACAAACATAAATCATAGTGAATTTCTCCGAATCAAAATTCTTTAAAAAAAAAAAAAAAAAAAAAAAAATGTTTCTACAGAAGTTAATACATAAATTTCAATTGTATAAATCCAGAGAATTTTTTAATCATTCCTCATTTTGGAGAATAAAAACATTATTATTTATTTTTTCTACTATCACTTATTATCTAATACAATACACAACACTTAGTGTTTGGAACAGGAATGTGAATACTCATTGCATATTTACAACAGCGCGCCAATATCAACAATACATACTAATGAAATGTGACAAATACCAGATGAGAGGAAAAATTTTCACTCTCATTTATTTTTCTCATATTGATATAAAATGTTACGTTGCATCTAAATAACTACTACTTAGCATTGAATGAAAACATTAAGGAAATTTCATTGCTTGCTTATCAAACACTAATTTACATCACTGATTTATCATGTAGTATTATTCATTGATCCTTAATGAATTATCGTTGTATCATTTATATTCACATTACTATCAATGAAACATAGCTTTTTTTTCTTGCTACTTCTCAGCAAACTTAACTATGCTACTAGATAATAATGAAAATTATTTGCTATAAAATATTCATTGACTTTCTCAAATGAGAATCAGAATACAGTAGGTGATATCCGAATACATTTCACTTAGTTTTAATTAGTGAAATCTTCATCCAAAAACAACAACTCTCAGTAAAATCCACAGCCAATTACAGATAAATCTCAACTATGATGGGGAGCAATTTAGAAAGCGAAATTATAAAAAGTTGATGAAGTGAAAGAAAAAAGTGTACGAGAAATTGGGATCCTTTTGATTAAATTTATTTGCTAAACAAGTGCATTTCTTTTTTTCTAAGATAGAATAGAGTCAAGAACATACCATTAAATTAGCTTTTCGAATCAGTCGTCGTATTGGAAAGGCCATACAACCGAGCATTTGTTTCCGCCTGTAAAAAGAATTGGAAAAGAAAGAAAACTAATATAATTGTGTAAAAAAGTAACAAATCTTGATAATGCATGAATAGAATTGAAATTCTAATTCCACCATGCTAAGACAATATATTAATTTATTGAGTTCTTCTTGCATTAAGATATTTCCAATGACAATTTTACCAACGAACTGGACTGAATAAATGGTTAAAATTTTTCTTTTTTTTCCAAAATATTATTGCTCTAATCGAAAACACCGCAATAATATCGCACAGAATAATTGAATAATTCTGACTGATACACGTGTATATATCATTACTTATATCACTGGCACTTTTCAAACCAACTGATAAGAAAATCTGAATCAATGATAACTTGAACTTAAATTGAGTCTAGCCACCAACTGCACTAATCGAAGCTATTTAGTTTTCTGGTAGTAAATGGCATGAGTTTATACAGTGAACTGTCCAGGCATTTCAGCAAAAAAAAAAAAAAAAAAAAAAAAAGCAAAAACATTTAAAGTTCATTTCAATTAAATTCTTTAAATTACAGTTATAATTTTTAAAATATACATATATATATATATATATATATATATATATATAGAAATAAAATGAGAGGAAGAAGCTTACACTGAATTTCCCGCATTGGTAATCCATACACTAACGCTTAATAAATCATGATGACGATAATGATTTCGCCGTAACTGACTGAAAATATTGCTAATATATGAAAGCAATTAATATTTTAATTTAAACTTCCAAGAAACATTTGTTGCCATTTTTAGATGTGAGATGACATTTGTATTTCTAACGTTAGCTTTTAATAAAGTACATTTATCAAGACAACCATCGCTACTTTTTAATCGTATGTTTTGTGATTATATACTTACAATGTAAAATTCTCATGAAATTGAGGACGATTGCTGAGAAGTACAAGACGAGTACGAAAGCTTTTTTCTTGAGCATTATGACTAAAACGATCCTCCGAACTTGATCGTATCCGTTTATTGTATACCGGATTGGGTCTTATTTCAATCTAGATTAAAATAATAATCAAAGACTGGAAACTTATTTTAAAAAGGTTGTAAGCGGGGAGATTTTAAGTTTTCGCTCTGAAACAAACAGTGATGAAAACTTATATCATTGATCGCAATATGTTTTCACCACCGTATATCTCACATCTTCACAGAGTTTTTCACTCTGAGCAATCTGTGCAAATTTGCAAAGAGAAAGATGAGAAAAGTAAATAATGAGCATGAACATATATAGGATGAAAACTATAATATTTGAAAATTGAAGGACATAATAAGATTATATCACATCATAAAGAGAACCAAATGAAAATGTTAGACCAATGTGACAAATTAAGAGGATTTCTGAATGACATGGAATTAATTGAGAGATCCAGGAATAAGCTAAAACTAATACATGCTAAAATACAGATAAATGTTAGTTTCGTTCAACAACTGATAAAGTGTGCACAAAACGGGAAACTGATGAAATGAAGGAAGAAATCTTGAGCCAAAATGCAATAGAATGGACAATCATAGAATAATTTTTAAAATGGTTTAGTAAATAATTTTTAAAATGATGGAACTCACCCGAACATATGAAGAGGCTTGCGAAATTGCAGGATCCAGAAAATATACTGCTCGTACAACACTAACAGTTAAATAACATCCAGAAATTGACATCGTCAATTCCAGTTTACCTTTGCAACCAATTCTACGAGCAAACGGCGTTGGTAGTCCAAAATGATCTGATTTCCAATTTATACTCGACAAGCAACCATTAGAAAGAACTTCTGACTGTGGTCGACTCCAATCCTTTCGAGGAGTTTGCTAAAATTATAAATTTCGAAGGACTATAAAATTATAAGTAAAATTGCAAAGGATTGTAAAGCTAAACAGTAATATAAAATACAAACTATTTGTAAGTTATGTGTATAATGGAAGATCAGACAAGAACAAGAACGGTCAAATTAGCAGGAAATTTTAAACTGTCAATTCCTTAAAAAGTCTTTAAACTTTTCAGTTTTTAGGTTACATTAAATTTCTTCAATAACCTTTGAGACAATTTACCTCTTCAAAAAAACTTGCAGGTCTCTCCAATGTATCATACATTATATTATTAAACGCGCTGAGAACAGAATTCCGACAACGTCTACTTGGTGACACTGATGTTGCAGGAGTTGATGTTGATATAGTCTAAAAGTATCGAGAATCATTTGCTGTGAATTCCTTTCTTTATTTCTTTAAATTTTATGACAAAGAGTAGACAACAATTCTAATAAATATAATTACCTTCAAATGATGAGGATTTGTTTTTGGTAAACCAATAGAAGTTGCTGTTGACGTAGCTAATGGATGCCAATTCCTAGTCAGTTGCAATGAGGGTACTTTCGGGATTTCATCAGATGCATCATTGATTGGTGATAGTTCCTAGGTTAGTTATGAAAAATATCACCGCTTTAGACTTGAAATTTTATGAATAAACTTTATGAGCAATGTCAAATAAACATAAGTTGACATAGTAAGCTAAGTTTCTTTGAAGTACACATTTTTGAAACATAAGTACACGTCTCTTATAACCTTTTCTCGGTTAGCCATATGATTATATTAAATATTTATGGGACATTTTATTTACCTCAATCATGCTTAAACCTCGAAGTAATGAGGGAGGAGGAGAACGATGCCTTCGGTCGCTAAATTCAGAATCATCATCCTCATTTGTTGTTTCAGTTTCATAGGACGATGAATGATCAATCGGTGTTATCATTGGCAGTGACCCATAACGTGTTCGTGCGCGAGCTCCAATTCCACAAGGTACTTGGCTTCTTCGTGTTCTGAAATACGGTGAATTAAGATGAATCGTTCCGAATTAGTCGAAATGATTGCTAATGTGGAAAAGATGAGCAAAAACTGTGCTTTAAAATTGTTTTAATACCTGATTACTTGGGATTTGGAAGATATTTGTAAAGAAAAAAATCAAACCTCATTGTAGGCTTATTTATCCAATTGCGGTTAGCGCCTCGAACAACCGGTATTGGTTGACAAAAGTCACTATCGGAGGTAAGATCAGAAACACTTTCCATCGCCGTATCTTAAGTTTTAATCTTTGATAAAGCAAAAAATATTGACCAATACTTATTTTGGTAGCGCTTCCAAATTCGGCTGACGTACTTTTTTTCACTCGAAGGCTGCTTATCGATATTTATTTGATGGATATTAATTTATTTGACCTTGGACTATCTCGCCTAATTGAAATAAGACCTATAAAAATTTTATCAATTTAACCGCCAATGCGGCTTCTCCTTAAAAATTTCCGTGGAGGTCATACAAAATTAGTACATGGAGTTAAATCAAAATTCCTCAATAAATTTGAAACTTCTCCTCATAATAGGGGCACACCTTTTGCGTCGAAAAATCAGCAGTCCTTTTCAGACAATTTTTTAAATATTTCAGAGCAAATAGTGAAATAAATAACAATTTTAATTTAATTCAGTCAAATAAAACTTTTAGAACCCTTTACGTCAATGTTATTTTTTTTAAACGATGAATATGACCAATTATTCGCTTGCTATGTTTAATTAATTTAAAGAATTTTGTAGGAGAAAAAATGGAATAATTTTTGAACTTTATTTCTTAAGTTTAAACACCAAATCCTTAGTAACATCTCATTATTAAAATAATTGTTGATATACATACCTTTAGGATAATCATAAAACTCATCATCACTTTCTGAACTTAAATTCATCAGTAATTCATCACGTTTTCGTTCATTTCGACCACGTTTTCGTTCATTGTAACGATTCAATGAAGTAGATGATCGTGAATTGATAAAAACACCATATGGATCATTCATTGTCCCTTTATCACATACCACTCATCAATTCATATATTTTAAAATCAATAATTTATGCGAAAATTTAAATTCGAAAAATTATATTTTTACATGTCATCGCATAATGCGTAGTGAACATTCTTTTTTCTTTTTTTTTTTTTCACTAGACTACAATATTATATAAATGTTGAGTATGAAATTGATAGAAATGAAAAATTATTAAGATTTAAAAACATAAGCACACTATTCATTTTTAATTCTCAATAACTTTAAACTCAAACTTACTAATAAATCCAACATCCAATTAATGCAACAAAAGTGAAATTTAAAAACAAAAAACAATTTCACTATTAATGTATATGCACTTTTTTTGCAAAATAATAAACCACAACAAGATTTTCAACATAATTTCAAATAGTCACTTGAACTGTAATTATCAAATTAATGGATCTAAAATGAGATGGATAAAACAAAAAGAAAAAGAGAAAAGAAAATCGAAGAAGTTGTTCATCCAGCCAATAAATCAAACAAAACTTTGTCTATGGAAGAAATAAAACAAAAAAAAAGAAAAAAGGAAAAGGAAAAATGAAAATTGAAACGGATGACAACATTTCACTTGTAATTTTAACTTATCTCTAAACATGATCATTTGTACTGGATTAATGTTACTGAACCGGTTTTTCTTTCTTTTTTTTACAGATAAACGAATTTAACATTTTTGAAACGACATTGCAAAAGCATTTATTCCATTCATCATTTATTTAAATAAGATAAAAATCTTAACTGGAAATTTAGTTGTATTTCGAATTATGCATTTCTTCATTTTGACTTTTTTTTTTTTTTAACTTATTAGAATTTAAAGGAACGACTTGTTTCTCTTACGAATTTGCAATCATTCGGTAAAAGTTTCATAGTGTGACTTTTTTTTCTTGCGGAAACATATTTCAACTATAATTCCAACGATAATTTTATGAAATAGAAATTATGAAGAAAAAAACAATTGATTTGGGATTCTTCCTAAAGAATACATGAAAAAATATCGATGCAACATTTAGGAAATAAACTTTACACGTACGTGAAATGTTCACTTGCATAATTTTGTACGTAAGTGATGACGCCACTACCACCTTAAAAAAAAGTATCATTGCAGTCTGATAATAATTGAACTCTAATAATTCACAGCTTCTAACCTGATGCTTTATCGTCTTCTTCACTTATTGTACACAACGGTGTAGGTAAGTATGCAACAAATAAACCTTTGACCTCCGTCACGTATAAAAGGGATATAATCAGTGATGGTAAAAAGTGTCATCGCTCAGTATAAAAAAAAATATCAGAAAGAAAAAATACGTAGGGGAAATAATAACAAAATTATTCATATAAGTAGGAATAACTGTGAAATCGTTATAGCTTGAATAATCTTTCACGTAATTAACGTAGTGATGCACTTTCCTACATCGATTAAGACATGACGATAACAAGGTTACTAACGTGTAAACAACGCAACCCACGCCCGTGGAACTATTGGCTACTCACCAATTTTCATTTAACCACAACAATTGGCGCCTTTTCATTGGCTGCATCAATCGACCGCAGCAATATTATGCGATGCGATGACAGACATCGAAAGAAGCGAGGGGAGATTATATGTATATAAGAGAGTTAGAGAGTGGACGACTCAATGGAAACTGCAGAGAGACGGACGGAAGGAGACGGGAGGACAACAAAAGGAATAAGAGAGCGAGAGAAAAGCTCTTTAAGCATTTTAGGTTTGAAGAACTGACCACCAAAGAGTGCAGAAAAGTTAAAGAAGTTGTGAATTCGTGTTAATCTAATTGAAATTCTCAACATTACAACAGTAGAATGAAGGATTGAATGGAAATGGATGGAAATGAATAAATGAAATTGAATGAATGAATGAATGAATGAAACAGAAACATTGAATTCATTCATTTTCGTTTTCAAAATTATCCAATATTATATATTTGAAAAATTAAACGAAAAGAATTAAACATGGGATTTTAACCAGAAAAGTACATAAGCAAAATTTTAACTCAGGATTAATAGCGAATTTTCTCTTTAAAAAATGAAAAAAAATAATTGAATTGAAATTATCGAAGAAATAAATTTTGCTGTTGAACTCAAAAAAAAAAGAAAGGACATATTATTATTAATTCTATTCTATATATATATGATATTAGTACAACTGTTACAACATTTCAATTATAGTAGTATTAATTAATTCAATTCCAATTATAATTTTAAATGATCAATAACGGAAATGTGTTTCAGACAAGTTTTTAGATCTTTTTAATATTTTGTGAAAAGCAAGCTGACCGATGTGCTAATCAATTAATCATTTAATGCATTAACTGATCAATTAGTTAGATGAATGAATAGCTAATTGAATTAGATCAAAAAAATAGAAAAACAGAAATGCAAAAAAAAAATTTAATAAAAGAATTTAATTTAGGTCAATGAATATGATGTGAACTCACTTCAGGTTCACTACTGAAACAATAAATTTCATTTTTTTTTCTTACAATTCCTTTTCTATCATTGTTTTACTTATTATTCGAATAATTAATTCTATTATCCTATAAAATAAATTTTGATTCTTTTCAACACTTCGAAATTTTGAAGTTCCAAAAATTAAATTTGAAAAAAAAAAAGGACAGAAATTGAATGATGGGCAAGAAGTAATTTGATATGCTCAAAATGATAGTTTAGAGTAATGGCGCGGGTAATATTAGAAAGAAATGGGTTAGATTATAAGTAGTTCAATTTAAGAAGCACTTCCGTTGATTGGTTTAGTAAAATGCTTTTTGGCACATAATTTTTTTTTTTTTTTATTTTACGGGGGAAAGAGCGTAACAAAGGGACAATAGCCGCCGCTGCTCTGCTCATCGTCCAGCTGTCCATTTAGACGGCTACTTTTCACCATTTCATTTATTGTTTTCAAAATTTCCTCCTCTCCCCGACAAGACAACTATTTGTTTAACGATGACCATTTCCGTGGCTATTTTAATCGAAGACTGTAAAAATTTATTTTGTCATCTAATTTCCAAATGAATTGCTCAACAAACTGAAAACAAAATCATGAAAAAAAAAAATTTTTTTTTGAAAATAAAATATGGAAATTTTTTTTTAAATGATACATATTAAATGATTAATTAAATTTTAGTTCCACTTATTTAAAGTTTTATAATTAAAACAATTTAAGAATGTGAAATTTTAAGCTTTTGTGACATAGTAATAATACATTGACATTGAAATTACATCTAAAAAATTACTTACCAAACAAATAATACTGTACTATATAAGTAAGTATATCATATAAGCACAGTAACTCTTACAGTGCCATACCATTTGTAAAGATTTGGTAAATTACTGAAGCATTTTGTAATAGTAATTCTATTAATGCATGAATTCCATTTACCAATTTAATTTGCATTAATATTAGGTTGTGGACATCGGTCACTTTCCGGATATTAGGATCCAGAAATAGTAATGGAATTTCCAATTCAGTAGTTTAATAAGTCCGATTTTTTATAGCTGCCGCATAAGCAATTAATTTTCCTCAACTAAGAATTGTGGTTATATAAGCAGCAATGAATGCTTTATTATTTTATTTTAAATTTAATTTCAATTTATTATTTTTTCATGCACATTCATTATTAGTTTGTATGTTAAAGTCTTTTGAAAATTTACAGAAAATTCGAAGTTGTTATTACACAAATTTTTAATTAAATTTGATCAAATTTCAATTATTAAAACTTTAATCCAATAAATCAAATTTTTATGAATGTGAAATTTTAAGCTTTTGGGGCATATTAATAGCATATTGTAATTGAAATTATATAATGATTAACTATAATATTTCATATTCAATCATTACTTAATGCTTGTTATTTTTACTTCATAACGAAATTAAAACTTGAACATTTCTATCAAAATTTATATGACTTATTTAAAATGAAATATGTTGTATTAAGCTTATTTTCTACTGAAATTTTCCATTTAAAATACAAACACGCGCTTCAAATTATTAAACTAAATGTGTAAATTATTTGATTTAAAAAGAAAAAAAAATAAAATAAAACAACAACAAAAAAAGGCAAATCAAGATTGCTTGATCATATTGAAGTTCCAGAGAAAGTCACAGGACATCAGCAAATATTATTTAGGCTTCATAAAATTCAAACTACCATTTAAATTTTATCGGTAATTACCAATTATCGGTGGATAATTTGAATGACATATGTGTTGATCATTTATATGAATGATTTCGATAGTGTTGTAGTATCTTACCTAACATTGATTCAAAATTATAAAATAATTTTGGAACAATTATTTAGATATTAAAATTAAATACTAATATTGAATAAATGTTCAATGAATTAATTAACAGACTAATTGGTACTGCAAAAAAAAAAAATACAATTATCTCCAATGAATGATACACAAATTTTTAAATAAATAGTAAAAATTTTCTTTAAAAAATTAAAACCTTTTTTTCTATTTATTTTGAAGACACTAAGGAAAAATTTGCATTCTGGAAAAAAAAAAAAAAATTCATTTTTTTTTACTAAAATTTAGTTGATTATTTCTATCTCTCACTCTCCTTTTTTTTTAAAAAACAAACAATCGAATTTTTTTCAAAAATAAATAAATAAATAAAAAAAATTTACTACAATTATTTTTTATGAAATGGCATATTGTTTTTTTTTCTTTCAGCATTTAAATTGTATTAAATGATAATTATCAAATAATTATTTTCCAAATTTCAAAGAAAAAAAAAACGATAATTTTGAAAATATAATTTTAATTAATTTATATATTACACAAATTTTTTTGTCTTCTTGCACTTTGAAATTTTGAGATAAATTTAATCATTTTTTTAAAAGTATGTAGTTATCTACCTGAATGCATAGAAAAGAAAAAAAAACAGAAATGCAAAGAACCTAAATTTTTTTAAAAAAAAAATAACCTAAATTTTAAGTACCCAGGAAAGAAAGCAA